AAATCAGCAGATGAGGCAAGCAAGCTCTCTCACCAATTTCTTGAACGAACATTTTATTTCTAGGTATTTTATTTGATTCCCCAATATGTCTTAATATAATAGTTTGCCTGAAGGCTCCTTAGGGCTGCCACTGGTTGTGCAAGACATTGGGATAAATTCTTCATTGTCACACGGCATAGGCGAAGGTATGGGCCAAAGCCAGCCTATAACCACCTCACACTCTATCATCCCATGGAGAGTCATGCCAGGGCCTGCGTACCTGCTGGGTACAGTGTGGGTTCTGTTCTAATAGAGGGACCCTTACCCACTCTGCAGTGCCCTTTTTATAGGGTAGCATGAGTCAGTGGGGGGATACACAAGCTGCTTGGGTTGGGGGTATCAGCAATTTATAGTAGTTATCTGGAAACACTAGCTACCATGCACCTGGAAACCTTGAGGCAGCTGGGATCCTTGGGGTCCATAGGATATTAGGGTCCCTGCTCTTGCCAGGAGAGAAAGCCACCGGTCTCGTGGGAAGTGGGGAGAAAGTAGTTATTTCACTGTCAAAACTGTGGTGAAAACCCAAGGTAATTACCCACCATTCTGCCTCTTGAATTATAATGTATATTAACGTGCCCGGTCAAAGGCAGGCTCTCTGATTTGTGATCTAAGCACTGAAAAAATTTTGTCTTCAGTTAGGCTTTTATAAATTATAAAAGATCCTATAAATCCATAATATCTAGAGCACGCACTAATTTCTCCTTTCTTCTCCTTTATTTTTCATCACCACTCCCATAGGATAAGGGTGTACCAGATGGCAACAGAGGCCTGGTGTTAGGGCTCCCTAAAGACTATTTCCACATCCAGGATCACCTCCTCTCAAAGACATCTTCCCCTCATCCAATCCCCACACCTATAAAAGCCCCTGGACTTGTGAGCTGCCCATCTGTAGGGGAGGCAATACCTCCAGAGGCTCCAAAGAAAACAGGAACTCCGCCACTTGGGGAAGACAAATGCCAAGGTGAGCCCTTTAACAGCAGTCACAACTGATGCTGAAATATGTTTAATCTTTATATTTCTTCTGTTAGAATCAATGATATCTGGACTTTGTGTTCCTGATACTTAATTTATCTTTCCTTCATAGGATTACTGATTTCTCTGTGCATCAGAACCAGAGATGGGGTGAGTTTGCGTGACTTAAAGGATGTTTCTCCAGGGTCCTAAATCATATAACATCATACTACAGACTATTTGAAATCAGATTAATGCTCACTAGGTGATATTTTATCATCATCCTCAAACACTCACCTATGAATGACACTGAATTTTGGGGGTCTTATATAAAAAAGGCTTGTGAGTTTGTTCTCTTTAAGGGTTAGAACTTTCAGCACATGAAAGACTGTTTATATTTTTTAGTGAGTCCATTAGCTGAATGATCCTCTCTTGAGGACTGACTAGGCCTATTGGGTATAGCTAACCAATAGACAGTCCAGAATGATTGTTCATTCAGAGTCTTTCATCAGCAAAAAATAATTTTTTATTAAAAGGTTAACATGATCACCTTAATCAGTATTACTAATCACTTCATTTAAAAAAAGGTTAGAAGAAAACAAGGGTATGCTACACTGTATAAATAATACTATACAACCACACATCGGTTTTACATATGTAAATGCCAGGAAGATAAAACACCAAAATGTTAACTGTGGTTATCTCAGCTGGTGGGATGATAATCGATTCTTATTTCCTTCTTATAGTGGACACTGCGGTAGGTTACCCAGACTCCCACGTGGGACTGAAACACTCCTTTCCTCACATGCTCACAGCGTAAAGCTGAGTTTGTCTCCTGGAGTTTTCCTCTGCTGCAGGGAGGTGCCCTGCCCAAGGTTACTCTCCTCCACCGTGGCAGCCCACATTGAATTCCCAGGTAATGCAGGAGCATGAATTCTAGCCCTAGAGTTCCCTGAGGTCGCCACTATTGCACTAGCTCTCTCTCAGCTCACACTTACAACTGCATACAAGGATCCCTTCTGGCCAGAGGACAGAGGAGGAAAAAGGCTGAGCTTAGTTCACTGATGGATTGGCTTGGTATGTGAGTGCAAGCCAAAAATGGAGTGCTGCTGCATAACAGCTCACTTGGAAGTGGTCCTAAAAACAGCAGTGAGGGAAATCCTCCCAACCTTGAGGCCGTGCACCTGGTCATCCACTTTGTGTGGACAGAAAAGTAGCCTGAGGTCAGGACATCCGTGGAATCATCGAGCACATACGAGTGGCATGGCTGGCTGATCTGGGGCCTGGAAGGAGAAAGATTAGAAGAGTGAAGACAAGGAGGTCTGGGGTAGAGGCAACTGTATGGAGAGACGGGAGTGAGCACAAGGTGTGAAGATGGCTGTATTCCATGTTAATGCCCAGTGGAGGGGCATCCACCATGAAAGAGACACTACGCAATCAAGTAGACCAAATGATTTGGTCATTTGACCTCAGCCAGCCTCTGCCAGCAGCCACCCTAGTATTGCAGTGAGCTCATTAACAGAGTGTTCATGGTGGCAGGGATGAAGGCCATGCATTAACTCCTACTTACCAAGGCTAATCCAGCTACTCCCACTGTAGAATGTCCAGTCTGTCAGCAAGAGATTCCAACTCTGAGCCCCAATTTGGTCCCATCCTTCGAGGAGACCAATCAGCCACTTGGTGGTGACATTTGAAGCAGGGCAGGGACACCAAAGAGCAGGCAGGGCTCTGGACAGCCCCAGCAGATGGAAGGATCTAGGCCCCCAGGAGATGTGAGAAAGGGAGGAAGGCCACAGCTGTCTGCTTTTGTTCAGGTCAAAGCCAAGTATTGAGGGCCTATCATGTGCCAATCCTGTGCTCTCGGGCTCGGCTCGGGAAAGAAATGAACAAGAGAGAATTTCCAGCCCCCAGGAGCCTATGAATTTCCAGTCAAGTATCAATTTTATTCCAGATAAGCCCCAAAATAACAACAATGACGATCACAGAATCTTGAATTTGAACTAAGCTTTACGGTTTTCAAAGCACTTTCACAGTTTACTTCACCTGATTCCCTCGTCCTTAAGATTTCTTGTTATTTAAATTCTGGCCTTAAAAAAAAACACTACCAGTCCCTGAGCAGAATCCATTGCTTAGTTTCATGACCTTTGAGAAGTCAGTTAAGCAGAGTAAGCTATAAAATAAAAGCATGGGGATAGAATTTCGCTCATCCTTTTGCTCAACTAAGAGTAAAGACTCTTTTCATTTTGATGGCAACAACAGCTTCAGTGAATTAGAACAACCCGAACCTACCAGAAAGAATGAGAGTAAACCATTCAGCCAACCCCAATGACCCGGGGGGGAGGGAGAGCGGGGAGATTGCAAATCCCCTTACTCACCGAAATGGGCCCTTTTGTGTGATTTCCTGTGGAGGCAGCAGTCAGGGCTGCTATATATACAGCGACGTTCCCCCAGTCCCACACAGCACCGAGAGAACCTCTGCTTGCTCTCTACAAAATGGGAAAGGTAAGTCCTGGGTACCCGATGCCCAGCCCTGATGATGCAGCATCCTCAATGAGGGCGAATAGCTCCATGCTCCCACCTCTTCCATTTTGCAGATCACCTTCTACGAGGACCGGGGCTTCCAGGGCCGCTGCTACGAATGCACCAGCGACTGCCCCAACCTGCAGCCCTTCTTCAGCCGCTGCAACTCCATCCGGGTGGACAGTGGCTGCTGGATGCTCTATGAGCGCCCCAACTACCAGGGCCACCAGTACTTCCTGCGGCGCGGCGAGTACCCCGACTACCAGCAGTGGATGGGCCTCAGCGACTCCATCCGCTCCTGCCGCCTCATCCCCCCCGTGAGTGTAGCTCTGTCTTTGCCTTTCATCTTTTTGGAAATAAAAGCTATTTAAAAGTATTATTCTTAAGCCAAATAATTCCGACTAGCGGACAGGAAGCGGAAGTGACGCAGAGTGCGTGCAGTCCAGTCTAGAAGGCTGTCTCAGATGTGGAGCTGTGCTTCGTAAACTTTGTGGTGTTTTTTTTTTTTAATCGCGTTTCCAGATTTTATATTTTAAATGTAATCAAAAAATTGAAAGACCAAAGACTAATTAAGAAAAAGCAGGACATGAGGAGACTGAAGTTACCATCTGTTCAAGATATAATTTCTTAAATGTTCATTTCAAGCTATACCAAGTCAGAAATCTAAGTAGATCAAAGTATATAAATGCAATCTGGGACTGTGTAGTTGATTGAAAGTACTTTTTGCTTGCTTTGCCTTACTTTTCTATTTGATTATTCTTTCTAGAGAAGATAGGCCCCTATCTTTGGATTTCTATTCTAATTCAGTGGTCAGTAACTATTAGCTCACTTAGAGGTACGACTTAGAGGAAAGGTCAAATCCAAAACTATAAGTTTGAGATTCAGTATTTTCTGGGGAGTGATTGCAGAGTTCTTAGAATTGTGGAGTGTGGGAGGCCTGGGGTAGAGTGTTGTCAAAACAGACCTTAATGAAGGTGATTCTTGGTGCCGAGGGAAATGAGTAAGTGCAGAGTAGGAGGCCAGAAAGGAAGCCTAAGAGCCAGATAAGTTGAAATTTGAACTGCAATTGAGGTTACGAAAACAGAGAAAAAGAAAATATGTCATCTTATTTTTCATAAGAGCTTAATAGTCCTTTGCTCCATAGCATACCTGAAAACCAATACATCAGTCTTATGGGAAATAGTTAAATGTCGATAGCTTTTTAACAAGAATAATATATCAAAAGATACTTAGCTTTCTAATGACTCTCACTTTTCTCCTTTGAGAAGGACTTTCTCAAATCACAAACATGGAAGTGATCGGATAAATTTTAATTCCCAAGGACTGGGGACTGGTAGATAGCAGCGGAAGGGCTGCTGAGCTCTGTTCCTTCCCACCTTTGCACATGAACCATTAGACCCATGAGCGGTGGACGGCGTGGGGTGGGAAGTCCCCTTAACTCTGCAACGTGGTTGTTCTGGAAGCAAACTTGGATTCAGAGAACTTCTGGGCAGGTGTGGCCAGGGAGATGCAGGGGTAGAACTTTAATTTCTTTCTGTTTGTGTTCATTTTCTATCCGCCATCCCAGCACTCCGGCACTCACAGAATGAGGATCTACGAGAGAGAGGACTTCAGAGGACAAATGTCAGAGATCACAGAGGACTGTCTCTCTCTTCAGGACCACTTCCGCTTTACTGAAGTCCACTCCCTCAACGTGCTGGAGGGCTGCTGGATCCTCTACGAGATGCCCAACTACAGGGGGAGGCAGTACCTGCTGCGGCCGGGGGAGTACAGGAGATATCTCGACTGGGGGGCTACAAATGCCAAAGTTGGCTCTTTCAGACGAGTCACAGATTTTTACTGAAGTATTTATATTCTCTGCTTCTCTCCTTTAAAATGTAATAAAATATTTTAGCTTGTGTTTCTGGCACTAAAAGAGTCCTGTCTTTCTTTCAATCTATTAAGCATTCATAAACAATAATGACACTTGGCTAAATATAATAACCATTTTCAAGATGGGAAGCAACCTCTTATAAGGGGAATATCGCAGAGGATATCCTTTCCAGCACTCTTCTGATGACCAAAACATGCAGCCCCAAAGAAAAGTTCTATTCACTTGGGCTAAGGCCACTTGTGGTTACTCTCACAGGGATATATTTGCAGCTACAATGACGAATTGGTACTTTCTGAAACAGCTCAAGTTGTCCCTCCAGGTTATCCCTATTGTCTTCCCTGTATAGTCCAAGTCTTAGCTAATGAGGAAAGTCATTCTCAGCATCTAGACTCTTCCTTCAGCTCCATAAACAAGCACACAAACAGGAACTTTCCCCACTATTGCACTTCTCATCTTTCTGATAGTCAACATCCTTTTCTCCCAATTCCACTTCTAACACCTCATTCCTCTGAGATTTTCACTCCAAATATAATTCACTGTCTCTTTGCTATATGTGCTTTGTGGAAGAATCTCAGGACATTTACCAAAACCACACATAGACAGGGAAACTCAGCCTTGGATCATTTTTATGGAAAGTAAAGTATTGCAAGTGTACATAGAAAATAATACTAAGTAGAAAATAAGGAATTGAAATTTTCTGGAGAAATTTGTTTGTTGACTACATATTTGTTCACTTTAGTTTTTAAAAATGGATTAAGGTTACCAGGTTAACCGGGGGTGGTGAGGTGGGCCTGTAGTCCCAGCTCCTCAGGAGGCTGAAGTGGGAGGATTGCTTGAGCCCAGGAATTCAAGTCCAGCCTGGGCAACATAGTGAGACCCTGTCTCTAAAAAATATATCTATTTTTCAAGAAAGAAA